GTGGTGATTTGGTGGGTATACTGGCATATTTGGGTGGGGGTTTTACTGGGGTGTTTTTTCAGAGGCATTTGGGAGTTTTACTATGGTAATTTGGGGGGGTATACTGGCATATTTTGGGGGGGGGTGGGGAACATTTGGAGTTTTACTGTGGTGATTTTGGAGGGGGGAGTATACCAGCGTATTTGAGGCGTGGGATGGGAAGAGGGATTATTGGGCTATTTCTGTGGACTTTACTGGGATATTTGTGGTGGGAGGGGGGGGCGGAGATTTTCTGCAACAATTTGGGGGCGTTTTGGAGAGTTTTAATAGGATAATTTGGCGGCGGGTGGGGGGTGTGTATCTTTGGGGTTGTGTTGAGTGTGTTTACTGCGGTATTTGTGGTGTTTTCCGGGTAATGTCTGGGATTTTTTTTGAGGCGTTTTCCCCTCTTTTCTAACCCCGCAAAACCCTCCCAAACCGCTCCCTCCCCCACCCCGGTTACCTGGGACGCGGACAAGATGGCGGGCCGCCTCAGGTTGTCGTTGCTGCTGCGGCGGCCAGGCGGCGGGCTGCTGTCCCCGTCCCCGGTCGGGGTCCGCGGTTACCGGCGTCCCGGGGCCCCGGCGTCCCCGCCGCTGCCCCCCTGGAGCTGGCTGAGGCGCGGCGATTGGCGGCAGGGCGTGCAGAGCGTGTGCCGGCACTGGGGCCTGCTGTGGGCCGAGGTGGCGGAGAAGCTGCGGGGCCCCGGCGGCCGCAGCCTGCGCCAGGAGCTACTCGAGCAGAACCGCGTCCTGTGGCAGGCCCAGGGACCCGGCAGCCTCGACCACTGGCTCGTCTCCAGCGACCGGGAGATCGGAGGCCGCAGCCGGGCCCGCCTCAGCGTCGGGGCCAATGGCAGGACGGCGCTACTGAGCGGGGAGCTCCGCACCGAGCCACCCCGGGACGGAGAGACCCGCTACAGCGGCTACTGCAGCCTCAGGGGCCGCCCGCTCAAGGTGCGGGCCCGGACTTCCCTCACCCCGCCCCCGACATCCCCTCACCCCGCCCCCGACATCCCCCATTACCCCACACATTCTCCCCTCACGCCCCCACGTGTCCGTCCTCGGGGGAGGGGCCCCCACTGTCCCTCCTTGCCCCCCCAACCCCGCCACTTCTCCATTTCTCACCCATCACCCCTACCCCTGACTTTCCTCCACCCTCTCCCTCGATCACCTCCCCTCTGTTGCCCCCTTTCCTTGGTCTGCATTCTATCTTTCCCCCCTGCCCTTAGCGCTCGAACCCTCTCAGCTGTTTACTCCCCCTCCCCCCCCCCCCCCCCCCCCCCCTCCCCGCTACCGCACAACCGTGTCGCTCTCGTGGACAGCTCCACCGTGCGTGTGGAGTTCCCAGTGAGTGTGCCGCGACTGCCATCACATCGACTTTCTGTCCCTTTCTGCAGGGTGCCTTTGACATCAAGAAGTACCACGACCTGACAAACTTCAACACGCTGCATATTCGGCTCCGAGGGGATGGCCGCCCCTGGATGGTGAACATTAGCAGTGAGATGTACTTCAGCCATCAGAAGGATGACCTTTACAGCTATTTCCTCTTCACCCGGGGAGGCCCCTATTGGCAGGATGTGAAGGTAGAATGGGTCTTCCTCCCTATTTATCTGAAGGTTTTGCTTTATCCTGTGGTTGCAGGATCCCAGTGGAAAATCCTCCATGTATTAGATGTGGAACAATGGGGAGCCTCCAGGTCAGTAGGCACCGCTCCCATTCCAAAGACCTGAACTCGTCATTTAGACTGGTAATACAAGATGATTCTGTGGGAGACCTCTACTCCCTTCGGTGGGGATTAGTCATAACATAATGAAATTGGAGCAGGAATTGACCGTTAGGACCTTTGAGCCTGTTTTACCATTCCCTATGATTATAGCTGATTTTTAGGAAAGATTTGGAAAGATTTAAAAGGATGTTACCGGGACTGGAAGGTTTGAGTTATAAGGAAAGGCTGGATAAGCTGGGACTTCTTACACTGGAGAGTAGGAGGTTGAGGGATGACCTTATAAAATCATGAGGGTCATAGAAAAGGTGAATAGCAAAGATCTTTTCCCTAAGGTTGCAAGGGGACATATTTCAAGGTGGGAGGGACTTAAAAGGGACTTGAGGGGCAACTTTCTCAAACACAGGCTGATGTGTATGTGGAATGAAGTGCCAGAGGAAATGGTAGATTCAGGTTCAGTTACAACATTTAAAAGCTATTTGGACAGGTACATGAACAGGAAAGGTTTAGGGGGACACGGACCAAACGCAGGCAAGTGGTACTAGTTCAGTTTAGGAAATCTGGTCGGCACTTTCCTGTCCACACCCCATAATCTGTGACAGGACAAAGATAACTGCTTCTCTCAACCGAAAATAAATTCAATGATGTGACTTTCTGGAGTCAGAAAATTCCAACGTTTCACAAACCTCTGCGTGACAACATTCCTCCGTGTCTCAGTCATAAGCGATTGGCCCCTTATCCTGAGCCTGTGCTCCCTGCATTCCAGATTCCCCTTCCCAGGGAAACGACCTTACAGTATTGACCCTATCAAACCCTTTCAGAATCTTACATGTTTCAATGAGATCATCCCTCATTTTTCTGATCTCCAGAATGAATAAGCATAATTTACTCAATCTTTAATCATAGTACAACCCTTTCACCCAGGGGCCAATGTAGTGAACATTTCTGTACCAACTCCAATAAAAGAATATCCTTCCTTAAATATAGAGACCCAAAGCACACACTAAATTTTAGATATGGTGGTAACAAGCCCCTGTACAATTGGAGAAAGACTTCCTTATTCTTGTATTCCAATCCCCTTGCAAAAATTGCCATTTGCATGTCATTTGCTTCCTGATTACTTGCTGTAACTACAGACTGGCTTTCCCTGCACAAGTCTTTATTATTTTCAGTCGCTCGTCAGCATTGCTAACAGGGCCAACAATTCATTGCATATCCCTAATTGCCCTTGCAAAGATGGTACTGAGCTGCCTTCTTGACCCACTGCAGTCCTTGGAAATTTGACACGGTTTCAGTATGGAAATGGCAATATAATTCCAAGTGAGGATGGTGTACGGCTTGGAGGGGAGCTGTAGTTGGTGGCGTTCTCATGTATGTGCTGTCCTTGTCCTTGTAACTGGTAAAGGTCACAAGTTTGGAAAGTGCAGGAGCCTTGGTGAGTTGATCTCTCTGCCTCTCGATACACTCACTGCACCCAAAGGAAACTTTTCTAAAGTCTCTGTTTCTTGTGCTTTTCCAGATTCCGTTCTCCAAGTTTTTCCTGTCCAGTCGGGGTCGAATCCAGGATAACCAGCATCCATTGTGGTTGGACAAGGTTGGAGAACTTGATTGATGAGCCGGAGTGTTTAAACAAACCCCGTTTTGCTCCGACAATCATGTTAATGATCAGCAGAGCTTCCCCTCGGGTTACATGGCTTTGGCAGCTGGCATGAGCACAAGGCAATGCCATTTAGCACAATATGCTCAAGGATTGGCAGTAAAAACCAACAAATTCCACCAACACCCTCCTCTCTCCAGCTCCCCACCTCAAAAAATTGTCTATCCTATGTGTACCCTCTCCAGAAGTATCCTCCTGGAGGAGCAAGATTCTTGGTTGAGTCTTTGCTGGGGCACTGAAATGTGTTGTGTTCTGCAGTGCCACCGTGGCTGATCCAGTCAGCACTGCACAGAACCCAAGCTAACCTGGAAATCTGTGGTTCTGGCAGTGTCCCTATTTCAGGATGAATTGAAAGCTTATTAATGCAATACCATGCCTGAACCTTACGGAAGGTGCCTTTGTGCAAATGTGTGGCCTTTTTTTTAATGCTACAGCTGGTGTAATCCTCGATAGATATTAAAGTGAATTGCCAAACTATTCCCGAGCAATAAGAGCAACGCAGTTCATCATGGCAACATTGAATGTGAAAGTATAGATTGAAGCCCCAGAACCACTGCTGCCTTGTTTGTGAATGCCTCAAAAGCTAATGTTTAATAAGCGGATGATCCAAAGAGGGAAGTGCATCTGCTGAGGGCACTTTGTCTGAAAGTCTCCAGTCTTTGAAGGACAGTACTTCGCTAGATTCCTCCTTACTATTGTACTTTGAATCAGTGTTGCAGGATGAATGGCAACAGGAAGTGACCCTTAAACAGCTGCTTGAATTTCCCAGAATAGTCAGCACACTTAGTATGGTTGGTTGAAGTGGAGTTTTTTTAATAATGCTGATGCTAATGCTAATGATCGTTGGTCAGGCATCTGTCTGGGATAAACACAAATAGGGTAGTGATTGTTCTCTTGAAAACAGTGGATAAATTCTCCAAAGCTCAGATATAGACATTTCATAAAAGGGAGTGAGTTGGAACCTTGTGTCTGGGTGAAGTATAAACCTGAGAGAGGAATCCGAACCTGTGTAATCAGTTGGCTGCCTTCCCAAAACTGTGTTGGAGGGGGAGGTATAGGAACAGGAGCAATTCAGTCACTCAAGTTTGTTTCTCCATTCAACAAGGTCACACCTGATCTTTGACCCTCACCTTTGCCCCAAATGCCTCTTGATGCCTTTAGTTAACAATCTGCCAATCTCAGATTCAGAATTAACACCAGCATCAGTTGTTGTTTGTGTAAGTTCCAGACTTCTAACTTTTGTGGGTAAAAGTAATTCAGTCCCTGAAAGGCCTGGCTGTAATTTTTAGACTCAGTTCACCAATTCTAGATTCCAAAACCAGTGGAAATAGGATAGGTAGAGAGATATCCCATTAATACTTGGAAAACATCAATCAAATCTCAGATGACAAGGTGTAGATCTGAATGAACACAGCAGGCCAAGCAGCATCAGAGGAGCAGGAAAGCTGACCTTTCTTCCAGAAAGGTCTGGATCCTTCTTCAGAAATGTGGGAGGGGAAGGGGATTCTGAAATAAATAGGGAGAGAGGGGGAGGCAGATGGAAGATGGATGAGATGGAGAGGAGACGGACAGGTCAAAGAGGCGGGATGAGGCTGGTAGGTAGGAGGTGGGAATGGGGCTTGAGGTGGGAGGAGTGGATAGATGGGAGGAAGGATGGACAGGTTAGGGAGGCGGGTTGAGCTGGACTGGTTTTGAGATGCGGTCGGGGGAGGGGAGATTTTGAAGCTTGAAGTCCACATTGATACCATTGGGCTGCAGAGTTCCCAAGCGAAATATGAGGTGCCGTTCCTGCAACCTTCGGGTGGCATCGCTGTGGCACTGCAGGAGGCCCAGGATGGACATGTCATCCAAGGAGTGGGAGGGGGAGTTGAAATGGTTCGCAACTGGGAGGTGCAGTCGTTTGTCGCGAACCGAGCGTAGGTGTTTCACAAAGCAGTCCCCAAGCCTCTGCTTGGTTTCCCGATGTAGAGGAGGCCACATCGGGAACAGCGGATACAGTATACCATATTAGCAGATGTGCAGGTGAACATCTGCTTGATGTGGAAGGTCTTCTTGGGACCTGGGATGGGGGTGAGGGGGGAGGTGTAGGGGCAGGTCTAGCACTTCCTGCGGTTGCAGGGAAAAGTGCCGGGGGTGGTGCGGCTGGTGGGGAGTGTGGAGCGGACAAGGGAATCGCAGAGAGAGTGGCTCCTCTGAAAGGCAGATAAGGGTGGGGAGGGAAAAATGTCTTCGGTAGTGGGGTCAGATTGCAGATGGTGGAAGTGCCGGAGGATGATGCGTTGAATCCGGAGGTTGGTGGGGTGGTACATGAGGATGAGGGGGATTCTGTTTTGGTTGTTATTGCGGGGAGGGGGTGTGAGGGATGAGTTGCGGGAAACGCGAGAGACACGGTCGAGGGCGTTTTCGATCACTGGAGGGGAAGTTGCTGTCCTTGAAAAACGAGGACATCTGGGATGTCTGGGAGTGGAATGCCTCATCTCAGGAGCAGATGCAGCGGAGGCAAAGGAATTGGGAATAGGGAATGGCATTTTTGCAGGAAGTGGGTGAGACGAGGTGTATTCTAGGTAGCTGTGGGAGTCGGTAGACTTGAAATGGATATCGGTTTCCAGGTGGTTGCCAGAGATGGAAACAGAGGTCCAGGAAGGAGAGATCTTAACCTTATCAATTCTAGGAAGTACAACCCTATAGTTGGTGTAATCACTCCAGAATTTAACTTCTGGAGTCAGGTTATGATTCTAATAAATCTACCATACAGTCTCCGCGACTACAGTCAAGGGCGATATATCCTCCCAAAGATATAACGTGTAAAACTGCTCACAGTACTCCAGACATGGCCTTCCATAACCAAAGCATGACGTTTACCCATTTTATATTTTATAGGCCCCCTAAATGTTATGTCTGTTTTCCTCATTCAAAGGATCCTGTAGTTGGAATAGGACAGGGCAAGTAGAGTGGGGAAAATTACCTTTGAGGTGGAAGTTGTGCCCCTTTGGAGACTACTGCCCAGATTCTGACAGCAATGTGCAATTGTGTGGCATATAGGGAATACCACAAGGTGCCAGCAGAACTGCCTTCCAGTAAGGGAAGTAGAAAGCTGACTTGCTTTGCCTGCCTATGTTCTTTGGGTTTTGTTTCTGGAGTGAGCTGTTGAAGTTACTGGGTCCAGAGAGGGTAGGATTTGGGGCTTTGTGGGGAGAAGGATGAAATTTTACTGATCCCAGCGATAAGCAAGCACAGGACCTTGAGCATGTCCCTGAAATGTGTTGGTTTGTTACAGATCAACACAATTGGCTTCACGCTGGGTGACAAAGTGGACGGTCCATTCCAACTGGAAATCGACTTCATTGCTGTGTGCAACGACCGGGCGCACACTGAAGAATTTGCTTATGAAAAATACAAAAGGAATCCAGAGGTATAAACAGGTTCACTGAAATATGTAACCTTAGCTGGATCCCCAGGAGCTCAGTAACCTCTGTCTGGTGGTCTAACACTGCACTCACTGAGCCAGTTTGAAGAGAGCAGTGGCTGACTCTGAACACATCAATATAAATAACATCTGACCTGCATCTAGGAAGATTGAATGTGTGTGGAGAACTTCTAATCAAGTTTGGCTTTATAATCAATGTCCTATGCATTCTTACACAACAACTAATGTACCCTGTGGGAGGTAGCTCCTATTCTGTTATGAGTTAATGGTGTAACTTTGGCATTCATTCATTGGTACCCTGCTGTAGTGTTCTGCACTGGCAGCTTTAAGGTAGTTGGTTGTTAAATTATGGACTGAAATTAAATGAACAAAAGGCAAGGTGGGCTAGAAAATTTCAATTGTTGCTTTTCTAAGAGCTAGTATTTATAAAGCACCTTAAACACAGTAGCGTGACCCAAGGTGTTTTAACAGGAACATGAATCAAATAAAACTTGACACTTGTCCACTTGAGGAAATACTGTTGTTAAATCCCACCCCTCCCTTTCACTACCTTCCTGAATTACAACCTCTGTAATATCAACAGTTCTCCAATTGCAGCCTTTCAAGCAACATCAATTTAAATGGAATATAATCAAAAGGGAAGAAAAATATTGGGCAAAGGGGAGATAGTGGGAAAGGGAGGAGGAGATAATAAAGGGAAGAGACAAGAAACTGGCACAAGTAGATGCAAGATGGATTTGATGTATACTTCTGTAGATAGAAACATGCAAATTCAAAGGATAGGCCATTTGACCCCCTCAAGCTTGCTCTACCTCTTTTGAAATTTCATGGCTGACCTGAAAATGGCCTTAACTCCACTCTTCTGTGTGCCTCATAATCTTTGACCTTCTTGTAAATCAAACTGCATGCTGAATATATTCAAGGATATATGAAAATTGACCTGATATAAATAATCCTGTTGGTAGTATTTCCATTCAGGTAACTACAATGCAAAATGATTATAACATAGTTTATTTCATACTTTATACACAGTGCCTGAATTTCACACGTGTTTTTGAGTTGACTGTTACATATGAAAGTTTATGTTTCAATTTGGAGTTATTTTGAGAGATAGTGACACTCATATTTATAATATCTGACATAGGTTGTTTGAAAGGTGAGGCATAACGATTTCCAATAATCACGACATAATCAAACATCTACCTATTTTGCAAAGTGATAACATTTGCACAGGAAGTTCGTTTATATAATTCATGTTATGGTTCCAAAGGGCATTCTATCTGCACAAGGAGCTTTTCGAGAAATGTATTGTTTGTATTACTTGTAATGGAGGGCAGCAACCGTTAATGAATGTTATGTAACATTGTGTTAAAATGTAATTCTTGGAAACCTGGCACAGCAAGAATATTGTTTTGCTGTTTTGAGTTAATGAGGTTATGAAAGAATTAAATAAAGTTGTCCGCTGTTTTAATGAATTTGGTTTCTGAATTTCGATGTCATATTCCTCTAATATGGTGAAATCACTCTTATTCAGTTATAGCTGACGTGTACTTAAAATCCATCAGCCCACCTTGATGCTAGACATGCTTAATACTCTTCCATAGCATGAATAAATCAATTTTTTTGGAAGCTTTCAATTAATGCCACCCCAGGCTTAATAGTTCTGTTCTTAATGGGGAAGAGTACTCCAAACTTCCACGAACGTTATGTGAAGAAATTCTCCTCGTCACCACCAAAGAATTGCTTAGTTCTAGTTTTAATGTTATTCCACCTTGTTCGAGATTGTTCCCTCATCCCTGCCCAGAGCAAAGTTTTCTCTGTGTGCCACATCAACTCGTTCAGTACCTCAGACCACCAGTCAGGAATAAGGAACACAAAAATTAAGGTCATTTCAAGTGAATTAGAGAAAAGGTTAGGGCTCTGAGGCACAGTGTCCCTATTTCTGGCTAGAAGGTCTGGGTTCAAAACCTAGCTGCCATGAAATTGTGTCATAAAACATCTGAACAGGTTGATTTCAAAAGAGAAAGAGGGTAGTTAGGAATAATGTGGACGCCTTAAATTGCCTCTAAACTTGACTCTGAATCTGTAATCCCAGTCACTGGATCTCGCAACCAAGAAGACTGGCTGGTGGACAAGCTTTGGGGATTTAGGTAGTGAGTTAGCCTCTACCTGCTCTTGTAGCCACACTATTTATAAACCTAGCTCAGTTCAGTTTCTGGTCAATGGTAAACCCGATAATGCTGACAGTGGAGGCTTCAGTGATTGTAATATCATTAAATAGCAAGGGGTAGTGGTTAGATTGTCTCTCATTGCCCAGCCTTTATGTGACATGAACGTCACTTGCAACTTTTCAGTCCAAGCCTGGATATTGTCTAAGTCTTACTACATTTGGAAGTGAACCATTTCAATATCTGAGGAGTCAATGAATGGTGCTGAACATTGGCAAACATCCCCACTTCTGATCTTAAGAACGGAAAGAAGGTCATTGATAAAGAAGCTGAAAATGTTTGAACCAGGACACCACCCTGATGAATTCCTGCAGGGATGAAATAACTGACCACAACCATTTTTTTTTTTAAATCTGCCAGGTGTGAGACTAGCCATTGGAGAATTTGCCCAGATGCCTCCTGTTTCCAAGATAACAAGGTGTAGAGCTGGATAAACACAGTGTTCATCCAGCTCTGCAGCATCTGCAGTTCCTGCTATCTCTGAAACAATTTTAACCCCCTGTTTCCAGTTTGCTGGGGATCCTTGATGTCAAGGGCAGTCACTCTCACCTCACCTCTGGAAGTCAGCTCTTTTGTCCACATTTGAACCAAGGCTGTAATGAGGTCAGTAGCTAAGTGGCCCTGGCAGAACCCAAACTGGGTTTCACTGAGCAGATGCTGCTTGATAGTAATGTTGATGTCAGCATTTACTGGTGATTGAGAATAGACTGAAGGTGTAATTGGCTGGATTAGATTTGTCCTGCCTTTTGTATACTGGACATACCTGGGCAATTGTCCACATTGTCAGATAGATGTCAGTATTTGAACTGTACTGAAAGAGCTTGCCTAGGGGTTCAGCTCATTCTGGCACACAAATCTTCAGTGTCACTGTTGTCAGCACCCATATCCTTTGCACTGTCTAGTGTATCCAACTGTTTCTTGCTATCACTTGGAGTGAATCAAATTGGCTTAAGACTGACATCTAAGATGCTAAGAACCTCTGGAAGAGGCTGAGAATGATCATCCACTCAGCACTTCTAGCTGAAGATTGTTCTGAATGTTTCAACCTTATCTTTTACACTGATGTGCTGGGCTCTCCCAACATTGAGGGTGGGGATATTTGTGACACCTCCTCCAGTGAGATTTTAATTGTTCACCACCATTCACAAGTGGATATAGCAGGACTGCAGAGCTTCGAACTGATCCATTTGTTGTGGGATCACTTAACTCTATTACTTATTACTTAGCTGTTTTATAGCTACACCAAGTTGAAACCTCATTTTTATGTATGCCTGGCTCCTGGCCTACCCTCCATCGAGCCAGGGTTGGAGGTAATGGTAGAGTGGGGAATATACCAGGCCAGACTTGTGCTGGAATATAATTCCTGTTGCTGTTAATGGCCAACAGCACCTCACGGATGCTAAGTCTTGAGTTACTAGATCTGCTCAGTCTGTTCCCCTGCCTAACTAGAATTTATCTACTTCTGTCTTAAAAATGTAATAATCTTGCCTTCACTGCCTGAGGCAGAGAGTTCCAAACCAAAGTTGCACACAATTCTTTGAGACAAAAATTATCACCAGCATACTGAAAACAGAACCCTACTTCTAAAACCATGCCCCCTGGTTCTGGTCTGACCCACAAGAAACATCCTTTCTATGGCCATCTTAAGATAATTAACGATGTTATGTACTCAGTCTTAAAACTACAGTGGAAACAAGCCCAGCTTGTTCAATCTTTCCTCAAAACAACCCACTCACTCCAGGTATCAATCTAATAAGAGCTGAATTGCCTTTAATGCATTTACAGTTTAAAATCAGGAGACCAAAACTGAAAACAGTATTTGAGATGTGGTCTCACCAATGTACTGAATAACTGAAGCATTTCGTCCCTTTTACATTCAATTCTTCCTGTCATAAAAGGAGACCATCCCTTAAGCCTTCTTGATTATGTGCTGTACCTGCCCATTAACTAGAACACCACAATCCCTCTGTATATCAGAATCCACAGTCATTCTCCACTTAAGTCATACATTGCTTTTTCACTTTTCCTGCCGAAAAGTGAACAGCTTCATATCTTGCCACATTACATTCCATTTGCTAGATTTTTGTCCACTTAATCAATGTAACTACATCCACATGGAACCTTACGTTTATCCATTGTCACCTTAACACCAAACTAGGTAAGAAGGTATGTTATGATCTGTGAATTTAGCTGCCATGCCTTCGCTCACCTCATCTAAGTCATTGATGTAAATTGTAAAAGGTTGAGAATCCAGCACAGATTCTTGTGCGACTGAACTGTCACATCCTGTCAGAATTTTTTAATTCACTCGTAGGATGCACGTCTCTAATTGCCCAGAGGGCAGTTTAGAGTCAACCACATTGCTCTGGGCCTGGAGTCACATGTACACCAGACCAGGTGAGGATGGCAGGTTTCCTTCCCAAAAAGGACATTAGTGATCCAGACGGGCTTTTCCTGACAATTGACAGTGGTTTAATGGTCATCATTACACTCTTAATTCCAGATTCTTTATAGAATTCAAATCGTATGCTATGGTGGGATTTGACCCAGGTTCCCAGAACATTAGCTGAGCTTCTAGATTAATAGTCTAACGATAATAACCACGAGGCTGTTGCCTCCCCTAGCCTAGAAAGTACATTTCATGATGGGATATTCTGTCCCATTGATGCACACATACTTGCAAGCCCACTATTCTTCTATTAATGCACGTGTCACTCACTAAGCAACAACCTTTGATGTGTCACCTGACTTCTGGAAAGGCAACTTTGGTCTGACTCCGGGCTCCTCTTTATCATTAGAGCATGTTACTCCTAAGAATTCCAATAAACTGGTTAAACATTATTTTCTTTTGACATAACCATGCTGACTTTTCCTAATTAATTTCACATTTTCTAAGCATTCAGCTATAATTATTTTAATGATCAATTTGAAATCCTTCCCCACAAAAGATGTCAAGCTACATTCCAGTGTGATGGAACTGTTCCTGAATCCAGGGAGCTTTGGAAATTTAACACTAATGCATCAACTACTTCATTAGCCACCTCTTAAGTTCCAAAGGTGAAGTGCATCTGGATCCAGAAACTTGTCAATCTGCAGCTCCAGTTTGCTTAGCTCCGTTTCCCTTCATGACTGTACTTAGAGTTTCTCTTTTTTTTTTTCGCCCTCCTGATTTACAGCTATCACTTGGATGTTTTTGGTATCCTTTATATAGAAGACACAGGGAAAATGTTAAATTACACACAATTTCCTTTTATCCACTGTTAACTCCCCATTTCCACTCTCTAGGAGGTTTGTCACTCACTTTACGGATTTCCTTTTTAGATACCTGTAGAAACTCTTGCTATCCATTTTTACATTTCTATCTCACTTCCTCACATACTCCAAAGTGCTTCCTCCTGATTAAATCCAAGCTGCTCTCTGCCATTCCCTATATTATGGCCTATTACTCTTCTTTGCAGTCATATGCCTTTAACATGTTTAGTTATCCACAGACGGTAGGTCCTCCCTTTAGAGGTTTTCCTTATCATTGGAATACAGTTGAGTATTCTGAAATGCCCCCTTAAATGTTTACCACTGTGTCTCTCGATACATGTCCTAGCCTAGAAAGTACATTTCTCATAGCTCAGCTTTCATGGTTGCCCTTATATTTTGAACCTAAATTAGCCTTACACCCAGTCTTTTTCCTTTCACAACATAATTGAATTTGACATCCAATTTGATCACTATTACCTGGGATTTTCTTTACTCAGTGGTAACTAATCTCATCACATTACATTATACCAAAGTCTAATATTTTATTGAGGATGGCCTCAAATAGGATTAATGGCATCCTGTAATAGCTATAAATCTATAGTTGCAAGAATGTCACATGCATAAGTTCAATGACACCAATTTAGGTGGCACAGCAAATATGGAATAGGAAGTATAAAGTTACAAAAAGAAAAATAGTGACAGTTGGAGTTCAATGTGAGAAATCATCTAATTTGAACCCAAGATGGATAGATCAGAGCATTACCTAAGTGGTGAGGAACTACAAATTATGGATGAACAGCAATTTACTACCTGAATTCAGAAATCACTGCATTAATGGATCAGTGTAAAATACAATTAAACAATGAAGGGAATGTTGATATTCATCTCCAAAAGTTATGTTACAGCTCTGTATTCAGTATAGATACCACACTTCAGGAAAGATTAATTGATCTTGCGGTTGGTGCACGCAGATTCCAGGACAAAAACAAAGTTAAATAAGAAATGAATGGAGAAGCCTTATACTTCTTTGAAAACAACACCCAGAGTAATCCAAATGAGGGAAGATGACTCAAGGATATGATCATTTCTCTATTCATGTAGTGGGTACGTGTTCATCAAAGGGTCAAAAGAAAGCTCAAAGTCTGTTACTAATTGAAATTCTCAGGATTGACATTGATAGACTTATTATGCAAGAATATTCAGTGACTACAAGCTGGTATAAGTATCAAGATTGTCATTAGAATAGTGATTGAAATATTATTATCCACCAAGATTGTGGTTTAAATATGCTGCTTGTATGTTTTTGCAGAGAAGAAATCCCAACTTTCCTTAGAAGTCCAAGCTCAAATTTTCAAATTCTACATTCTCTCGAATGCAAAAACAAACCGACTTTCACTCTTAATCTTAATTGTCTCAGCCCATCTGTTGGCAAAAATGTTCACAACTGCTTTCGTCACCTCCAGATTTCACTTTTACTAGACCTCCCACCTTCACAAACATCAGTCCATCAAATCTGACGTAACTATCCTCCTGTTTCAGTCCTCTAACTTCATAAATTTAAATTTGGTCTTTGTTTGAGCAGTTACATGTAATGCCCCTTCCCAATGTCCATTATCACAAAAGTTAGCTGCATGGGCCACATACCCTAACATTTTATCCTTTATTTCAGGTCTTTGATCAAGTTTTGGTCTTTAAATTTTCTCTTATGTTAAGAAAGGAAGATTTAACTAAAGCAATGAAACATCACAGAAATTCACATTACTGCAGTCACTTTTTTCAAGGCGCGATAAGCTTCCTTAAAACAAAAAACACTTTATCCAAATACGCTTCACAGCAAATGATTGCTTATGATTTGCACTTTTGTTTTACAGGTAAGTCAGATTTCTGTTCAGCTCCTTTTAAATTATGGCATAACTGTGGGCTATACGGGTTGACACAGACAAGGGCATCTTTTAAACAGTAGAGAATTAGATGTTGTACTGTGCTCTGGATACCAACCACTAGTGGCTTGTGGTTGTGGTACTTTGCTGTTAGCAATCCTTTCTACTCCTGAAATAAAATTTTAATGAGTTAGACTACACTTGGTAGGCCACTAACAGAACAAAACCAAGCGGTCATTGGAAACTTCGAACTGCAACTGAAAACCAATTTTCTCTTTGCTGAGTCTAAAGGGCCTTTTCTGATTAGCAATGGCTGAAGATAGACCATGATAGATTGTTAATAAGGCATAATTTATTCCATAATCACAATTAGTGCATCTATCAGGTACCAGGTATGTCACATTTGTCTCCATTGGGATGTGGTTCACGAGGGCCATTTCTCTATGGAAAGGTGGCAATGACAATCTGGGTATGGCTAATGCAACTTCAACATTAGCTTTTTCAGAACTGCCCTGTCTACTGTAGTATAAAGTTTGAGAAAAACAAGTAGTTTTCTTTTACACTAAGGCCCATTGTCATTTGCATGTTACTGTCTTCAAAAACTTTTATATCTCTACGGTTATTCCTCCATAACAAACTCTCTTTAAAAAAAAAGAGATTAAAACCGTGCAGTACGTTACCATACTCCTCAAAGTCACAATTGAACGAAGGGAATATCACACAAAAAGGGGGGGGGAAAAAAAGAAAAAAAAAAAAAAATCAGGGATCTCAAGCGTATCCTTCAGAAGCATTAAGCTGGTACTCAGCTGCTGCCCACAGGTCAATTATTTCAAATCTCTAGGACTGATCCCAACACTGGCCTTTCCGGTATAAAGAGACTGACGTTATGTAGATTTCAGCAGCTGCTGGACATCAAGATTCTGCAATCCCTTGCTGTTAGTCGATCCCATTTCCCATATGAGTGAAGAAATAAAAGTTCTCACAATTAGCAAAGTAAGTTTTATTTTAACAAATTTCATCCTACCTTTACAAAAACACAGCCAATTACAATTTGAGAAGCCATGCATAGCTTTTTTTTTTTAAAAAAAAAGAACATTTTGGAGGGACTGCTAAACATCAGCTGATAAGGAAAAAAATTCAAAAATTGTATTTTTCATATAATCATACCTCATGGTTAAACGAGTTAATCTATCCCCTGAAGGTACTACTTATGATGTTATTACATATGCTGTTCTTTGTGTGGAATCTAGATTGAGTTGTTTGAACATTCTTCAAGCATTACCTTGTCCTCACCCTACATCCACACAGACAGGAGTCGGAATTTAGATAATCTTCTTTTATGTTCCTCAGCCTCACAGAAAGCAGGGGTGACATTCTACAACCAGCATATATCTGAAAGCAAAATACCATGGATGCTGGAATCAAACGTGCTGGAAATTCTCAGCTCTGAACAAAAAAAAAAAAAAAAAAAAAAAAAAAAAAATTGTCTGACCAGAGTACTTTAGCATTTGTTTGAATTTCATATTTAGTGGCTTGACGGTAAAATTAAAAACATGAAATTTTCAGAAGTTTTTTTATGCCCCCCCCGCAAAGCACCACTTCAAAAAAAAAACCGAGATAAATACAGCTATAGAACTGAGCACAGCAACTTGTTTTTCAGTCACTTCCTAGATCTAATGAAGCAAATGGTGGAACCGACACTTATCCAGGATTCTCAGATCTATGCGGGAGTGAGGTCTGAACACAAGCAAGTGAGAAAAAGAAAGTCAATTAAAGTGTGCACAGAGAACTTTAACAATTGCAGTTGCCTTTAAGAAAGGCAGTTCTATACCTTATTAAATTTTCAGCTTTCTACAGAAAGCTCAAAGGAGGCACCAAAACTGCAATGTATACAAAAAGCAGTAATAAACTTTTCCAACTGCATGAGTGGGCAGGAAGAGAGAGAGGTTTCAAAAAAAAACACACACACCAGATGGGGAAGGAGGGATTGGGGGCGGGGGGGGGGGGGGGGGGAGAGAGCGAGCAGCTCAGTGCGTACCCAGCCAGCAGGATATTATGGCTCTCTAAAATATTTGAAAGAAAAATGAATCTCAGGAAGCTCTACTTAAGTTCAGATTGCTCAGGGCTGCACCATTGCACAGACACACAGTCAACAGTAGCAAAATAAAAAGGAGTGGTGAAGAAAAAAAGTCAAAGCAGAAAATACTGGCACATCAGTGAGCTCGAAACTAATATTAAATATTCTGTCCCAAAAACATGGGAAATGTTTCGAATCCAGGTTGCGAACTTTCTGTGCAGCTCCAGCACACATACATTTCCTCCATTCTGGAGGCACTACACATACAGCTTAACAGATGGCTAAAAGGACCTCATGAAGAAGCTCATTTAAAAAGAGGGTAACTTAATAGAAGATCTAGAATGTTATTGCTCATGTTAAAAATCAGCATTTGCTTTTGGACTTTACAGCTTGTTTAGAATACCCAAGAACTCCAAACAACACCCTTTCCCGCTCTTCTGCCTTTTTTTGGCTCCATGTTGAAACTGAACACCTACCCCACAAGTTTTAAAAAAAAAGCTGTACCTAATCCACTACAGTCTCGCTTCTGGTTTCCAACAACTAGCTAATTATTTTTGCTAAAAAAATGCAAGCTGTAATGCAGTTACTTTGGAGGCATATTAGCCTTTTTTGCACATTATAAACAATGAATTTTAAAGAAATGGCACTAAAATCAGGCTCTCTGGAACAAGACAAGACTAAAAGTTTGAAACAAAAATGGACAGAGGGAAATACTCAAACAAGAATAAGACAAATTCTTCTTGGTTGAACAGAGAAGTACCTCAATCAGTGCTCTGCCAGTTTGGACTTGAAAGGGTGTTAATGCTACTGGAGACATTTCAAGATCTTCAAAATAAAAAGCAAATATTTAAAAGCTGGTAATTAGGTAAAATTAGGTGAGATTTCTCCCAAACGACGTGGAGTGCTTATACAGGTCAGGGATGTCAGTGCTTGTTGGAATTACCTCTCTCCAGTGTGAAACACACCTAGGTGCAGTGCAGCTACTTTCATTCCTTGCTAGCAAACTGCACATCGCCAGGGTCACTTGTGAGGTACGTTCATTCGTTTTTCTCATCATGTCTCCATCCAACCACCATTTGAAGCAACTTTACATAATCATTGATCAGGAAATAGAACAAAACGGTATCTGAAAACCATGGAACTTTAGCAGCGAGATGCCTCACTTAACCAAATAATCTATATTCTCAGTACTGAAATCACATGAATCAAAGTGCTATATACAGAGAAAAGGCTAGAGTTTAAAATGAGAATATTTCAACCAAACGCACATTTTAAAAAAAAAAAGAGTAACAGAATAGACAGTAGAGAGTATTGGTTTCATTCATGACTTCATTCATTTCGTCATGACCAGTCCTCGTCTTGCTCCTATCACATTGTTCTTTCTTTCCTTCCGTTCTTCTAAAAACGTTTCCCGTCGATTCTCCCTGTGACAAAACAGCTTTAGGTTAAAATCCCCAAAACCACCAAGCCTGAAAAACAAAAGCAAAGTCTACACTCTCAAGTTCAGGTCAAGCCACACTCAACCATGATAGCATTTTTAAAACAAAGTATCTAAAGTTTGAGAAGATTTGTAGCTCGGGTTGTGGATGAGATTGTAGACATGCTTGCTGAGCCAGTGGATTTGGTTGAAAGCGTTTCATCACCCTGCCAGGTAACATCATCACTGCGCGTCCGGTGAAGCGTCGGTGTTCTGTTATATATGCCTCAGTTTGTTAGGGTATTTGGTACCACTTTCGCTTCTGTTTCTCAGTGGTTTGTACACAGGGTCTAATTCAATGTGTTTGCCGATGGAGTTCCGGTTAGAATACCAGACCTCCAGGAATTCCTTGGCACATCTTTGTTTGGCTTGTGTGATTATGGCTGTGTTGTCCCAGTCGAATTCAATTATCGAATAACAGCACTATTTACATTCATAAACATCAACCTAGCCAAAGAGACAATTGCCATACTACTGGACGAATCAAGTAGGCAAGCACCCCAGACATCAACAAAATCACCATGAAGCTACTAGATCTGTGTCTCACAACCCACTTCACCTTCAACGACAGCATATACAAACAAATCATTTGAACACCAACGGTATTCCCAATATCAGGATTGATTGCAGAAGCATTAATGCACAGGTTAGAATGGACAGCGCTCCCCACTATACAAGCCAAACTTTGGGTCTGATATTTAAGTGACACCTTCATGATTATCAAACGCACAAAACTAGAAGAAACCCAACAACATACTCACCGGGACAAAATTCACAAAAAACAGAACAACAGACTACCCTTCCTGGACATAATGGTAGAAAGCAAGAACGAAATGGGGAACTTCAGACTAGCATATACAGAAAGGCCACACATATGGACTAAATCCTCAATTACACTTGCAACCACTCCAACGCACCCAAACGGAGCTGCATCAGGATACTATTTAAAACAAGCCACAACACATTGCAGCAACCTGGAACTACGTAAAGCAGAACAGGAGCACCTATACAGAGTCTTCAAAAGGAATGGACACCCAAAAAGCACAATCTGCCATTACCTCAGAGACAGACCACAACAGGAAGACAACACAACCAGACTCACTAATCACCGTATAGTACATCAAGGCCATTTCAGAGATGACTACAAGACTACTCAGACCCCAGGTATCAGGGTAGCCCACAAACTAACAACCACCCCACGACAGCTTCTGACAAACATAAAGGATCCCATACCCACAACTACCGAAACTGGTGTAATATACAAAATACTATGCAAGGACTGTGAGAAATACTACATTAGGCCAAACCAGAAGAAAACCGACAATATCGATACACGAACACCAACTAGCCACCAAGAGACACGATCAATTCTCACTTGTGTCACACAGACAAGGGACAACACATCCATAATTGCACAAGCCAAACACAGAAACACCACAGAATTCCTGGTATTCTAAGCAAGGGCGATGAAACATTTGCAACCAAACCTACCAGCTCGGTGAGCAAGTCTACAACAAAGTTTCACTACAGATGTAACTTATGCAGTTAGGATTTCTACTCCAGTCAAATAACTTGCCATTCAGTCCATGCTGACATGGGAAGATTTTGTAATACCAGTTACCATCATTACCTGCACAGCTGGAGAAAACAAATACCTGCCAGCAGGATGGTGCAAGAGGTGATCCACCACTTTAAAATTAAGGCTTCAAACTTCCATATGAGTGAACATTTAGAAACCACACGATTTAAAGAAATACAAACTGCTCTGTGCATCTACTACTGCTTTTCTGGATGGTATGGAAATGATAAACAATTCATACTTTCTTTTCCTGATTTATCCATAGATTATCCCCCAAATAAGCTTGATAACACCCTAGGGTTTACCCAGAGAAGCAAGCTCACCATCTCACTTCACTCGCCATTTAGTCCAATTTCTGTACATGGACAGAATCCTTGAACACATCTTGGGAATAACCCCACTCAATGTTCAAAATCCATGTATTATTCTGCATTCTGCACAGGGTTTGTTCCCACACAAACAATAAATGATGCTCTTAAAAACAATATTGAGAAAGACAAAAAAAAAGTCAAGGAACCACACAGATAGCTTACCAAATTCTAAATGCAATACATTAGCAAATTGAAACAATGGTACATGGATTGGAGACCTAACTGAAGGCAAATCCTCACCTGGTCTGTAATTTTGGTTGCTTTGGATCCTTTTTGAGAGAACAAGCACTCATATTCAGGGTTTTACTTTGAGCCACCTTGTTCTCTTTCATCTCTTCCCAACTTTTCAGCTTCCCTGCAGAATAATGAGTCATTAGATTGGGCAGAGTTTCATGATTCATGACTTTCAACGCAATGTTGCATTCTCAATTAGAAATAAAAAATTTATTGTAAACCCATGGCATCAACTAATGGAATGCCATCCGTTTGACAAAGAGCGGCTTTGTTTGCAGCAAGGAGATCTCCTGGTATACTCCTTTCAGATCAGGTCAAGTCAAGCAGGTAGAACTCATTCACCCAATCCGCTGTAAATATGGCCATTAAGAGCTTATTGTGGAGATAATTTAAGTCACCCTCCAATCAATCTGTTATAAGGATATACAGTACAGCTCACTGTTTTTCAGCAAAAACAGAGAAATTGCTGGAAGAGCTCAGCAGATCTGACAGTATCTGTGGAGAAAAATCAGAGTTAAGGATTCAGGTTGAGTGACCCTTCCTCAGAACAGACCTGCTGAGCTTTTCCAGCAATTTCTTTGCTTTTAATTAACAGCATCCACGGTTCTTTCGTGTTTTACTTTGGCTCTGTAGCAGTTGAAGCATATTGGGCTATTCCAGACACCAGAATGCCCCAAGTGAACACTGGTGAAGAAATGTAAATTGACAGCACAGATGGTTCCTACCATCAGTTAAAGATAGGAGTTTGATAGGTAGGGATCAGCTCTATCTTATTCTTTCTGCAGATTTGTTGCCAAGAAGTCATTCAGCCCATTGTGACTGCACTGGCTCTTTAAATTTGCGCCAGTCTACTGCCTTTCACCCATAACCCTGCACCCCATTTTTATCCAAATAACCACTGCATGCCCTTTTGGAATATCTCAGTTGAACCAAGAGACAGCTGGATGTGGCCTGGCAGCTAAAGGGATTAACGGGCATGGAGAGAAAGCAGGAGTGGAATATTGAAATTGCAAGATCAGCCAATGATCATATTGAGGCCGAATGGCCTACTCCTTCAGTATTTTCCAAGTACATGTAGGCATCAGAAGACAGGGTTAGATTTAGCCACTATTACTGCGAGCAAGTAATACATCAATATGCACTATCTAGGAGAATGGCTCCTCAACCAAGTGGCTAAAGGTTACATTCTTGCAGACAAGAAGCACAGGAAGAGTGGGTAGTTCTAAAAGAATAACAGTGGTAACACTTAAATCCACACAAATTGTTGGAGACTGCAGCTGAAATCAGAATTTTGCAACAGTTGGAGGTCACTCAGTCCACATCCTGAAACCTTGATCTTTGACAGAGACATCCATTATTCCTACAACCCTGCTGTCTCCTCACAGTACCATATGTGTTAGGTTTGAAAATGGCACCCAAACTATGATTCCTTATTTTAGAAAATCAAGATCAGCAGAAACTTAAAAATGGTTGGAGGCGTTTAGTCTTAAGGAGAGCCTAGAGAAACCATTCTCAATACAAAGGTTTAGAGGAGATCTTACAGAAAGATCTTTATAACTAAGGGTGTTCAAATCAAAAAGCTAGTATTGGGGGCATCCTTTTGACAATTTAAGGGATTAGGAGGATTAATACAATAAATACAACATGGAACAATGTAGGGTAGGAACGGGGCCTTCGGCCCACCATGTCTGTGCCGACTATGATGCCATTTTAAACTAATCCCATCTGCCTGACACAGAACATGGAACAGTACAGCATCAATTTTTAAAAAGATGAAGTAAATATTTGTGTGAAGAGACCAATTAATAAGAATATGGATAACTGCATTACTTTTTCCAGAGTTGACACAGGTGTGATGAGCAAAGTGGCCTCCAATGCTGCAAAATTCTACAGTTCCAAGTGCAGAACATACATTTATTATTATTTTTACTTTGACCAGAGAGAGGAATCAAAGCAAAAATGCAGCTGAAGAGATGCGTACTGACCTTTGTGTGGCTTGTATCGAAGAGGGCGAGACAAACTTGCCTGCAAGTCAAACTTTTTTTTGGTTCCAGGAGTAGTATTGCCAGAGAACCGGTAGGGAGTAACAACTGAAACCAGGGAATAATAACTAGATCATTCAAAAAGCCTTAAGTAAATTTATATTCTCTAAAATGTGTTAGTAAATAGCAAATTTTAAAAAAAGGCACAGTCCAATACTCTTCAAATCATTCTTCATATTTCAGACCCTTAATTCTTCTCATATGTTGAGCACCAAGATATGAGAAGAATTACTTGATACAGCAAGATATGAGAAGTTAGCCATTTAGTTGCCTAAGGCCTCTTCTATATTCAATGTGACTGTGACAAAAGAGGAATGGAAGTAAATTACATTACCAAGTTTGATTTGAGATCAATTTAAATCAGAGACTGGCTAATTGGCCCAGCATTAATTTATGCAAGCAATTCAGGCCTTTAATGCTGAAAGACCTGGCTCTAGTTTCTGTGCTATAGGCTTTGGTTTCCTCTTTCTCTACTCAATGTTTTCCCATGATTTCTCAATGACTTCAAATCACTCATTAAATCAGCTATTACAACCCTTGTTTTGCAAATGCTCCTCATTTAAAATTTTGGAGGCTAGGTATCATACTGTTGCATTTGAACCGCGCTCCTTTCAAGATCAGTGTAGCCATGTACATGTGCGGTGCCCAAAACTGGTTAATTCTTCAGGTATGCCTCAACAGGGCTTTCTGCAGCTGAAGCACGACTTGTAATCCCATTTATTCCACAATTCTAGCTATAAAGACAGACAGACATTCTATTAGAATTTTGGATTTTCTATGTTTCATGAGATTTTAATGACCTCTGTATCTGGATCTCCAAGTCTCTGAACCTCCACTGTTTCTAACATGTCACTATTTAGATATACTCTCTTTTATTCTTTTAGGTCCAAATGGATGATTTTACACATATTTAGATTACAGCTTTCCCTCTAGCAAATCGGGCTATTTTAATCTTATCATCACCTATCTGCCCAATCTTTGCATCATTAGCATACTAATGCCATCATGCAAGTTGTTTATAAATATAATTGAATGATTGAGGCCCAAACACAGATTCTTATGGCGCCGGAGGCACATTTTGTTACTTAGACTACTTGTACATTATTTCCACCATCTCCTGCTTCTTAGCTAAAATTTTTTAAACCATGTCTATTGTTTTGCTTTCAATTTCATAAGCTTCAAAATTGAACAGTATTGTTATTGAGTCCATATAAATGACATCCATTTGGTCATTTTTCAAAACATCTACAAGCTTATACCAACTCTCTGATCAGCTGAAAATTTAAAAAGGAGTTCAGTCACCCAATCTTTCTATTCACCATGTCAACTATTGCGGTTTTCATCAGACTTGCTTAAAGTCATTCCAACAAGATACCCAGGACTTCTGCAAATTCATTCTGTGTTAACCATTTTCCCTTCCAATGGGCAGTGCTTCAATTTTACCTGCTATTATTCTATCCATTTACATATTTTGTTCCAAAATTATGTCATTGTTCAGCTGCCTCTTCAAATTTCTACGTGGTATCAAATTAGGTTAGCTTGCACCAAGCTGGTGCTATGCTATCAATTAAAATGTAGTAATCCCAAACAGCACTTCATCTAGTTGTTACAATTGTTTTCCCTACCCATACTCCAAGTAAGCATTCTATCTTCAATCAACATATCTATTTCCAGGGTTTATTATGAATCTCCACGATGAATCCACGAATCTTCGACGATACGAAGGTGGGTCACGTTGCGGACAGTGCAGAGGGCTGTTTCTAGGTTACAAAGGGACATTGATAGAATGCAGAGCTGGGCTGAGAAGTGGCAGATAAAGTTTAACCCTGAAAAGTGTGAGGTGATTCATTTTGGAAGGACAAACTTGAAAGCAGAATACAGGGTTAATGGAAAGATTCTTGGCAGTGTGGAGGAGCAGAGGGATCTTGGGGTTCATGTTCACAGTTCCCTGAGAGCTGCCACCCAGGTAGATAGCGTTGTTAAGAAGGCATATGGTGTGTGAGCTTTCATTAATAGTGGGATTGAGTTCAAGAGCCGTGAAGTTATGCTCCAGCTATACAAAAGCCTGGTTCGGCCACATCTGGAATATTGTGACCAGTTCTGGTCACCTCATTACAGGAAAGATGTGAAAGCGTTGGAAAAGGTGCAGAGGAGATTTACCAGGATGTTGCCTGGAATGGAGGGAAGGTCTTACGAGGAAAGGTTGAGAGAGCTAGGGCTTTTCTCTTTAGAACGACGAAGGATAAGAGGTGACTTGATAGAGGTGTACAAAATGATCAGAGGTATAGATAGAGTAGACAGCCAGAGACTTTTTCCTAGGGTGGAGGTAGCTTTTACGAGGGGACATAGTTTTAAAGTGAAAGGAGGTAGATAGATATCGGGGAAACATCAGAGGTAGGTTCTTTACTCAGAGAGTGGTAGGGGCGTGGAATGTATTGCCGGAGAGGGTAGTGGAGTCAGCTTCATTAGGGGCATTTAAGCGGCTATTAGATAGGCATATGGATGATAGTATAAGGTAGCGGTGGAGGTTAGATAGACCTTAGGTTTCGGGTAAAAGTTCGACACAACATCGTGGGCCGAAGGGCCTGTACTGTGCTCTACTGTTCTATGTTCTATGTTCCACAGCACTGAATTTCATATGAAACTTCTTCAGAAAGCCAAGCTGATATTCACTTTTCAACAATGTTGTTTGTTCTTCAAATAAATACCAAGGATGATGTAACAGGATCCATTTCCTCTTCTGGCTGCAGTTTAATAAACCATTATACAGAAATTAAGTAAGTTTACTCCCAACAAGCAATTTCAGTATGGCTCAAGTGGATCATTAAAAGGAGCCAGGAACTGGCCATGTAACTACAGGGTTTACATACCATTGATTAAGAGTGCTTGGTACTCAGTAATGTTAAAATGTAGCATTCTTCTTGAGTTCTCTTCCCAGAGACAGCTCTTTTGCAATTATTTACTGAACCACAGCAAAGTGCCATATTTCCTTTTTTATTAGAGGTAGAGGGAGGAGGCTGATCCTGAATTTACTTTAGCAAGAGCAGGGAACGAACCTGGCACTAATCTGACTCACATACTAGCCATCTTGCCAACTTAACTCAACTTAACTTGTGCAACCAATTAGTTAAGTTGGCAAGAGATAGTAAGAACTGCCGATGCTGGAGTCTTCTTCGCTTCTGAAGGGTCCCTGAAACATCAGCTTTCCTGCTCCTCTGATGCTGCCTGGCCTGCTGTGTTCCTCCAGCTCCACGCTGTGCTATCTCTGACCCCAGCATCAGCAGTTCTTACTATCTCTTGCCAACTTAACTAATTGGTTACACAAGAGAGCATGCAAAAACAAAGCAACTTAAAAAATCTTGAAACTATTGAAGCAGTACCTGTAGTTTGAGCAGGGTTACTAGTATTGCTGCAAGTTTGCTTCTGGCCTATAGGTTTCTCTGGTCCAGATGGTCTGACTTTTTTCACTTCACTGCCTGGGTTAAACTTCCTGGTTGGAGTTTTCATCATACCCTGTTTATCAATATCCTTGGCAGTATCGGTAAACCTGTATGTCATAATAGATATTTAAAATCTACATGCTAACTGAAACACAACTGAGTGATAGTTTTCTCAATCTCCTATCAAAAGAGCAATGAGTAAGAACTAGGAAAAAGTGAAGAAGCAATAGAATTAACCAGTTAACATATGAATAATTAAAGTCAAAAACACCATATTATTCTGAGAACGCACCTCCAACCTAACCCAAGTTTGGCTTCCAATCAAATAGATTTATTTTTAGAAAGGCACATTATCAATTCTTTCTGACCATTGCGCTGAAGTACTTAAATGGCCTTAAATCACAAGCATTTACTCAGCAAACAGCATTTACTGGATTTTATTGAAAGTAGTTGACAAATGTTACCTGACATTCATTTTGGTGACAGAGTACACTGACGGTTTGAAGACTGATTTTTCATCTAAGGTGACTGTCGCAGAGTTACGTGCTGATTTACGTTGGTTGGCAGGTGTTAAAAATTGGTTATTTTTTGATGTCTGACGTTCTGGGCTAAAGAAATTGGATAAGTTCTTCATATCTTTCTGTTCATTCACCGATTTCTTTTAAAAAAAAAAAAAGGAAAATCACAAACTTTACAAAGCTTAGAAAAAAAGAGAAAGGCGAAAACAAAGCTGCACCTCAATTAAACCAGCACTGGATACAAATTGAATCTAAACTGTTTCAAACGCTGCCTACAAAATTAAATCAGAGTTGAAGACTGGATGCTGGAGACAATGTTCTAACAGGAAAGGAATGTGGTACTACAGACTTGCATGTCTTCCATTCACTTCAGCAAAGTAAAACCAGCCAGTCATAGACAAAAGTCAGAGATGTACAGCACGGAAACAAATGCTTCGGTCCAACATATCCTAAATTAATCTAGTCCCATTTGCCATCATTTGGTCCATATTCCTCTAAACCTTTCCTATTCATATACCCATTCAGATGCCTTTTAAATGTTGTAATTGTACCAGTCTCCACCACTTCCTCTGGCAACTCATTCCATACACGCACCACCCTCTGCATGGAAAAAGTTGCCCCTTAGGTCCCCTTTATATCTTTCCCCTCTCACCTTAAACATATGCCCTCTAGTTTTGGACTCTGCTACCATGAGGGAAAAAAAAAAGGCCTTGACTGTTTACCCAATCCACGCCCCTCATGATTTTATAAACCTTTGTAAGGTCACCCACTCAGCATCCAACACTCCAGGGAAAATAGCCCCAGACGATTCAGCCTCTCTTTTGGTCAAACCTTCCAACTCTGGCAACATTCTTCCAAATCTATTCTGAAGCCTTTCAAGTTTCACAACATCCTTCCTACAGCAGGGAGACCAGAACTGCATGCAGTATTCCAAAAGTGACCTCACCAATGTCCTGTACAGTTGCAACATGACCTTCCAATGCCTATACTCAATGCACCGACCAATAAAGACAAGCATACCAAACACCTTCTTCACTATCCTGTCTACCGCACTCCAAGGTCCCTTTGCTCAGCAACTTCCCCTGGACCTTACCCTTAAGTGTATAAGTCCTGCCCTGATTTGCCTTTCCAAAATGCAGCGCCTCACATTAATCTAAATTAAACTCCATCTGCCACTCCTCAGCCCATTGGCCCATCTGATCACAATCCCATCGTACTCTGAGGTAACCTTCTTTGTCGCTGTCCAAATTTGGTGTCATCTGCAAACTTACTAAACATACCTCCTATGTTCACATCCAAACCATTTATATAAGTGACAAATAGCAGTGGACCCATTGTTGGTCACAGGCCTCCAGTCTGAAAAGCAACCCTCCACCACCATCCTCTGTCTTCTACCTTCGAGCCAGACCTGTATCTAAACGGCTAGTTGTCCGTGTATTCCATATGATCTAACCTTGCTAACCAGTCTTCAGGAGGAACCCTGTCAAATGCCTTACTGAAGTCCATATAGATCATGGCCACCGCTCTGCCCTCAAATCAACTTTGTTACTTCAAAAAAATAAAAAAACAACTCAAGCAAGTTAGTGAGACACAATTTCCCACACAAAAAGCCATGTTGACTATCCCTAATCAGTCCTTGCCTTTCCAAACGAATGTAAAGCCTGTAGCTCAGGATTTCCTCCAAACAACTTGCCCACCATTGATGTCCGGCTCAGATGACGATCATCAAGCAAGGAATTAAAGTTTTAACTAAATGACACATCTGAACCTTTTACATTATCTACTAGCAAGTTTTTCAGGACTTTCATTATACCCATGAAAAAATTAAACATATTCTTTAAATCAAAGCAATAATGCTTTCTACTTGCAAATTGTTGGATTAAAAAAAGCATTGAGGAATTTGTACACAATATTAACACATTAAGTGCAGCTTTGGATTACTTTATAGAAAACATATTAAAGTCTTGAAAAAAGCTTCAGAGAGTAGAAATGTCAGAATACTGCTGATCATCTGATACTGTAGGAATAATCCAGTATCTGCAGTACTTGAAATATCTATCCAATTCAACTTTGAAACACTGTATTCAATATACGTTTCCACACTTTATCAGGTAGGGCATTCAAAATGAAAATAACACACTTGAGCACTATTTTATGAAATGGAGATATCAGTAGTTTTCTTTAGTAATCCACGTTTTTAAAAAAAAAATTACATGTTTGTTAATTTTCTCCTGGATTATAGTTTCTGAGAAGCTCCTCCACCAAGGTGCATCATATTCAGGCTGAGTGACTTATCCATTCAAGTATTTGGCGACAAAAGCAACAAAAACAAAAAGAAAGCAATAGCTTCAGTGTGCAGCTGGCATCACCATTACTGACCTACTAGACTCCTTAGATGTGCGAACTTAATTCTCGAACACCTAATTCTAATTAGAAATCATAAAAGAAATATGAAAACAGTCAAAATTAACATTTACAACTTGACAATTTAAAAACATCTGAAATGCTTCAATCTAGAAAACAGAGAATTGAAGCTACAGAAGGAGTAGGAGAATGTAAAGTATGTGCGGAAAAAAAAAAATTGAAGCAGCTTTCTTGAAAAATCAAAGACTTTCAAAAAGGTAATTGAATAATTACCTGGAGGGAACATTTTTATGGCTCTCAGGAAGACAGAGGTGAGTTAATTTAGTGAGTTACACTTGCAGAGAGCTGGCACAAAACATTACAGGACAAATGGTCTCCATCTGTGTTGTAATCATTCAATGGCTTACAATAACATCAGAGGGAACTTGGGGGAGAAAAAAAAAAAGGAGTAGGCCAGTGAAGGCGGCTGTGGAAACATCTCTGCAGGAGAACAGATTTGGAAGGTAGAAATAGTCTAGAGACAGCACTCCCATTTACATCAAGTAACCATAATCATTCCTTCTAAAGTGTTGTGGATAATACAATGAAATCCCAGAACAAGGGAAAAAATAAAAACCTCACCCGCAAAATCAAAACTGCTTTCTTGGGTGTCCGTATTCTGATAGCATTAGTGCATTATTTGCCCAGAGAAGATATCGCACAATCAAACCCAAATATCCAACACGTATAAACTCCTTTCTCACCAGGGCTAATGTACACAATCAGCAACAAGAAATGTAGCCGCATGGGGTAACAGAGACCATCTGAAGTAGCCTTGGTGAAAGCAGTTAACATTGCAATTAGCATGAAGGGAAGCTGGTACTTCTAATCTGCCTGGGTAGATATCATGCAACAAGGTATACTTGGTCATCTAAACTAAAACTGAAGTGAGGATATGAAATGCTACAACCAAAAACCAACATCCCCAGAAAACTCTTCTGCCCATCCAATATCCAGGAGTAAAGAAAATAGTTCACTTTTTGGAATTCATTTTAAAATACATGGGCACAACAGTCACTCATCTGCTGAATGTACACATCAGAACATTAGCATGTGCTTCATATAGTTTCCTACTACCAGAAACTGCTTGCAATTGATAGACCTAGAGTGTGGGCAGGGTCAAAGCTGGCGCCATTGGCTATAATATTACACATCTAATAGGTCAACTGTTGTACCTTCATTAGCAAAGAGACAATATATATAATAAAAAAGTCTATGTAATTTTAATGATAGTAGGAACTGCTGATGCTGGAGTCTGAGATAACAAGGTGTAGAGCTGGATGAACACAGCAGGCCAGGCAGCATCCGAGGAGCAGGAGAGCTGACGTTTCGGGTCTGAACCCTTCTTCAGAAAAAAAAAATTTTAGACTTGCCCTCACCTGTTTGATAGGGTTACCAAAAGTTTCAAAGCGTTTCCTTTTTCGTTCAATGTACAGGTCAATTGACTCCATCTTGTTGAAATTAGCTTGATGAATCTTTTTCCAGTCTACAGATATCACATGCTGTGTTAACACATGGATCTCAATTCTGAATATCAAAGCATAAACCATAGAATTTCACAAAACACAAATTAATAACGTTGATCTCACAAAACTCTCTGTGGTACCTTATCATAGACATTTTGGATGTTTATTCATTCCCATGCCCACTGTGTTATCCTAGTCTACTCTTACTTCTTTAAACAACATGGCCTTTTTTAGAATCTGAGCTGACTTGCAAAATCATTTTGTATCTCTAGATGTTTATTTCTCATCTTTTGAGAGATTCTAGCTTCTTTCTTGCTACTAATCTTAAATTAAATTGTTTTATTTAACTCCCATTTATGGAAATAAGAATGGCATTTGATTAATCACTAAAATTATCCATTAAAAAGAACTGTGGATGTTGGACTTGAGACAAAAACAATTAACATTTCAAGTCTGGTGACTCAAAAGGTTAACTCTGCTTTCTGATACGATTCAGTATGTGGACATACCAGACAAGGTGTAAAACTTGACCCACTCTTGAGAAATAAGGCAGGGCAGGTGACTGAGGTGTCAGTGGAGGATCACTTTGCGACCAGTGACGATAATTCTGTTAGTTTTAAAATAGTGATGGAAAAGGATGGAACAGATCTAGAAGTTAAAGTTCTCAATTGGAGGAAGGCCAATCTTGACAGGATTGAGCAAGAACTTTCAAAAGTTGATTGGGGTACCTGTTCACAGGTAAAATGACAGCTCGAAAATGGGAAGCCTTCACAAACAAAAAAAAGGATAACGAGAGTCCAGAGACAGTATGCTCCTGTTAAGGCAAAGGGCAAGGCCAGGTGGTGTAGGGAATGCTGGACGACTACAGAAATTGAGGTTTTGGTCAAGAAAAGGAAAGAAGCATGTGTCAGGTACGGACAGCAGGGATCGAGCGAATCCCTAGAAAGGTATAAAAGGCAGTTGGAGTATACTTAACAGCGAAATCAGGACGGCAAAAGGAGGACATGAAATAGCTTTGGCAAATAGTGTTAAGGAGAATCTAAAAGGGATTCTACAAATACATTAAAAGGACAAAAAAAAAGGGTAACTAGGAAGAGAATACGGCCCCTTAAAAATCTGCGAAGCGCTTATGTGCAGAACCGCAGGAGATGGGTGAGATACTAAATAAGTATTTTGCATCAGTGATTACTCTCGAGAAGGATATGGAAGATAGAAAGCATGGGGAAATATTAGTGACATCTTGGAAAAAAAAAATGCCCATATTACAGAGGTGGTGGTGCTGGACATCTTAAAAACACATAAAAAGGTGAATAAATCCCCAGGACCTGAACAGGCATGCCCTAGAACACAGTGGGAAGTGAGGAAAGACATTGCTGGGCACCTTGCTGAGATATTTGTATCATCTATAGCCACAGGTGAGGTGCCGGAAAACCGGAGGTTGGCTAACGTGGTGTCGCTATTCAAAAAATGGTGGTAAGGAAAAACCAGGGACCTCTAGACTGGTGTGCCTGACATCAGTGGTGGGCAAGTTGTTGCAGAGAATCTGAGGGACAGAACTTACAGGTCTTTGGAAAGGCAAGGACTGATTAGGGATAGTCAACATGGCTTTGTGTGTGGGAAATTGTGTCTCACTAACTTGATTGAGATTTTAAAGCAGTAACAAACAGTATTGATTGAGGGCAGAGCGGTGGCCATGATCTATACGGACTTCAGTAAGATGTTGGCTCAAAAGGTAGAAGACAGAGGGTTGTGGTGGAGGGTTGCTTTTCAGATTGGAGGCCTGTGACCAGCAGTGTGCCACAAGGATCAGTGCTGGATCCACTGCTTTTGGTCATTTATATAAATGGTTTGGATGTGAACACAGGACATATGATCACTGTGAGGACACCAAAATTGGAGGTGTGGTGCACAGCGAAGGTTACCTCAGTGTACAACGGGATCTTGATCAGAAGGGCCAAGGAGCTGAGGAGAAGCAAATGGAGTTTAATTTAGATAAATGTGAAGTGCTGCATTTTGGAAAGGCAAATCAGGGCAGGATTTCTACACTTCAAGGTAAGGTCCAGGGGAGTGTTGCTGAACGAAGATTTTGGAGTGCAGTTTCATAGTCCCTTGAATGTGGAGTGTTAGCTAGACAGGATAGTAAAGACGACATTTGGTATGTTTGCCTTTATTGGTCAGTGCATCGAGTATAGGCATTGGGAGGTCATATTGCAGCTGTACAGGACAATGGCGAGGTCACTACTGGAGTAGTGTGTGCAATTCTGGTCTCCCTGCTATAGGAAGGATGTTGTGAAACTTGAAAGGGTTCAGAAAAGATTTACAAGGATGTTGTCAGGGTTGGAGGGTTTGAGGTACAGGGACAGGTGGAACAGACTGGGGCTATTTTCCCTAGAGCGTCAGAGGCTGAGGGGCATGAATAGGGTAAAATAGGCAAGGTCTTTACCCCAAGGCATAGGTTTAAAGTGAGATGGGAAAGATTTACAAAGGACCTAAGGGGCAACTTTTTCACGCAGAGGGTGGTGCATGTATGGAATGAGCTTCCAAAAGGAAGTGGAGGAGGCTGGTACAATCACAACATTTAAAAAGGCACCGGAGGTATATGAATAGGAAAGGTTTTAGAGGGATATTGGCCAAATGCTGGCAAATAGGACTAGATTTATATAGGATATCCTGTCGGCATGGACAAGTTGGACCGAAGCGTCTGTTTCCCTGCTGTTTCTCGCTATAACTCTGTTTGCCATATCATTTAGGTGTCACTTTAGCAACTTAACTTATATATCACCCCGCTTTGTCATTTCCCACATGAACATTATAAACACAACATAACATAAGGAAATTATAGGACAGGTGACCAAATACTCGGACGGGTAGGTTTTTGATGAGTGTCCTAAAATAAGAAAGATGAAATTGGTGTAGGGACAGCAGTCCAGAACTTCAACCTAGGCATCTGAATGGTAGAGTAGTTTACACACAGGATTCTCAAAAGATAAAATTACTGAAGTGCAGATATCCGAGAACAGTAGAGTGGAGAATCAAAGGTCAGGAGAGGTGAAGCCATGGAGTGATTTGGAAAATAAGGATTACATTTAAAAATAAAACCAACATGTTGCTTGATTGGAAGACAACATAGGTCAGTGGGCAAAAATGCTATAAAATTATGCTTTATAAAAAGAGTTAAACCATGCATGCAGATTCTGTAACTAAATTTAAATTAACTCTTGTAACCCTAGCCTGAATATTAATCTTTAACTGTATGAAGTTGAATAAGTCTGGTTAGAGCTGATATAGATTGACAAGAAATTCTAGACGAGGGAGAATTCTATGGCTAGAATACATAGGAACAAATGTCAGATTCTCAAGGTCAAGTGGAAAATCAACTGCGTGCCTTGGTAATTGGTCAGTTGATTCAAATGTGCTTAAAAAAGGAGATTTATAAACTATTTAGGTTATAAGAAAGGAGGATGGTGTAGTGCTAGTGCCCTATGTCTGAGGCCAGTGGTCCAGTCCCACCTGAGTCATAACATCTCTGAACAGGTTGGTTAGAAAATAACTATAAACGAGTGGAAATTGAAAACATGTTTCCTGGTAACAGAGAGAAAGCAGATCCAAGAACAGTCTCTTTACCCAGGATTCAGGAAGCCAGAGCAGAGTATACAAGTCTAAAGAGACAAAAGTTTAAGTAATTGTCAAGAGTTGAGAAGTCTAAAAACGAATGCAGTCTGGACTTTTGCATGTTCCATTATGTACAGCTGGATTGCGAAGTATAACCTGTTACGCTGCAATAATTATTGCCTAATTCACAGTACTTGGTAAAGTTAAGATACATGCAGTTTAAGAAGAGTAGAATGTTGCAGACCAGCCAGGAATGCACTGGAATTGTCAAGTCTGAAGGCATTGAGGGTGTTTAATAAAAAAAGAGCTGAGGCAGGATCAAAGGTTATGGGAGGGCGAAATAGATATTCTTAGTAACGGAACAAAGATGAGCTTCTTGCTCATCTTCGAGTCAAGTGTGACAACAAGGTTGCCATAACCAATGGCTCCTTTATCTTTCTGCCTGAAGAGTTGAACATGGCTCCTAGTTCTACTTCATTAGTGTAGTTGCTTCTTCAGTAAAAGCAGATACAAATAGTGTGCATTATAGGTAGACAGTCACATGTATGGAGTTCATACTCAATTTACTAAAAGACATGTGTCATGAATGCAAAGAGATTTTTAAACCACAAGTACCCAGGGAATCAGTACTGAAAACAAAACAAAAACAAAACAAAAAAAAAAAGCTGAAAATTCACAGCAGGTCAGGTAGCACCCATGGAGAGAGAGCAAGCTAACAGATTTGCTCCTACCTGGGGAACTCTTCAAATTCAATGTCAGCATCAAGTAGTTCCATTATCAGATCCATCATAGATTTCATACAATATACAATAATCTTAAGCACAACATAGCAAAACAAGTGTAGGACACAATGGCAATGCCCCGATACCAAACGACTATCGCAATTACAATACTTTCTTACCAGGGGTCACATGATTTAGTCCAGTTTTCCCAACTGCAGCAGGAGATTTGAGACCAAGTTTCCCAGTTGCTCGAATAAGACGTGGAATTTTGTCAGTCTTCGATTGAGCAGTAGTTCCTATAACAAAAGAAATACAGCACCAATAATAAATGATTCATCAGACTAGTGAAGCTACAAGTCACCATTGCTTGCATGTCAAACAGGGCAAGCAGAATACTACAGAGTTAAGGTGATCCATAACTAACAGATCAGGTCGAAGCACTGTAATCCTGCTACATCCTGTCATAATGAATGGTGGACAATTCAACAACTAACAGGAGGTGTAGCCTTCCACAAGTATTCCTATCCTCAAATGATGCAGAAACCCAGCACATTAGTACACAACACAAGGCTAAATTGCCACAGTATACTTGGTCCACAAAATGCTGAAGAATCCAACCCAGCCAACTACAGCCCTATTTGTCTACTCTCGAACAAAGTGATGGAAGATTTGTAAACAGCATGCTCAAACAGCATTTACTCAAAATAACACACTTACTGATGCTGGCTTTGGGTGCTAACAAAGTCACTTGGCTCCTGACCTCATTACAGCCCCAGTTCAAACTCGAACAAAAGAGCTCAAAATCAGGTATGGCAAGAACGACAGCTCTTTACATCATGACAGCACTTGACTGAATTTTGCTAGGGCTCTTTGAAGCTGCACTGAAGTCTAGAGGTATCAAAGGGAAAACTCTCCACTGACTGGAATCATACCATCACAAACTGAAATTGTTTGAGGTCAATCACCTGGATCCCAGGAATGCCTCAGGATGGTGTCCTAGGCCCAACCATTTTCAGCTGCTTCAACGACCTCCCCTCTGTGAAGGAATACTCATCGCTTGCTTCAATAAGCGCAATTCCAAAAACACTTGAGAAATTAAAGGTAATTCAGGGAAAAGGATCCTGCTTGATTAGTATCTGATCCATCACCTTCATCATTCATTCCCTCCATCAGCAATGCACAGTGGGCATATCTAGATTACATGGAGTGCAATGGATCAAGAAAATAGCTTATCACCATCTTCTCCAGAACTATAAAAGAAAGTGAACAATAAATACTGGCTTTGCCAGTGATATTCACACCCAATGAAATGAACAGAAAAAAACAACTATACATTCCAATTTTTCTCACTTCACAGTAGCTGACAGCACTCAGTAATTTAAAGAGTGCTGTGTGGAAATTATAACAAGTTACATAAGGGGTAACTTCGCAAATTTAAACTCAGAATCAAACAAATTGCTTGAATTTGATCAAACTGGTGTCAGAAGAAGTGTCATATCTTCCTCCTCAGACTTACTTTTTGACAAGCTACTTCAGCCAAGTCCAACCTCATCATTCACAAAGTGCATGAATATAGAACAAGAGGTCTGGTTTTCTGATACCTTAACATGAGGCTGCACTGTTTGCTACATCAGTGACTGCTGTGCAAACAAGAAGAGAAAAAAAGACTGATCTTCCCTCCAAATCAGAATACTCCAGACTAAAGCTTCAGGCAAGGGCCAGCTGGCCACAGAAGAACCCTGCCATTGGTGCAGGCAAGCCAGAATACATCAGGGCTGGTCCCCAGTCCAGATAAATGGGGAGAGCAGAAGTGTTAGGAGAAGAATCTAGCTGTAAAACTGACCTGCCAAATCCAAAAGCAATGATTGAGGTAAATGGGGATGGAAAAGGGTGCTCAACTGCATGACGGCACCCCCCTCAAACTTGGTATGAAAGGGAGGCATACTCTGTACGATGTTGTACAATGTTCAATAAAAGGCAATCAATCAACTATCATACACAAAACCCCCACTTGGAAATAACAGCTAATTCCTTATCCTGTCTCTAACAAATTGGCTCTGAACCAGTGGGGACCAACTCACTTAAGACAAAACTGAACTGGGGACATTTTGGAAGTTTTTCCAATTTGGAACTTCCTTGGAAGCACTTTGTCATTTATACATTTTCATCTTCATAAAGTAAAAAAGTGAAACCTCAACACATTCACTTTGGTTCAGAATATTTTTGATGTGACTTACATTTGAAAAAAAAAAGTCACCAAATTCACTCCAGTAATTTCAATTTAAATAATGCAATGTCAAAAAGGTGAATTGTTATCCAATCCAACATTAATCATATCCCAAAACAGTCCTTTAGAGTGGTATACAAAAGGAAATAAAAAATTTGGCCAGCACTACCTTTGGATGCACCAGTTGCTCTCTCATTTGATAAATGACGTGTGGACTGGTTGACAGGAGCACTGTCATCAGCCGCATTTCCTGCAATTTCATCCTTTTCTGCAGAATCCTCAAATTCAGCATGTCGTTTTCTTTGCCTCCTCTTGAAATCAGAACCTTCTGTGCTTTGGCTCTTTTCCAAATGAGGAGAAGGCTCCTAAACAAGAATTTCATACTAAAGTAGTACTTAACAGTTTCACAACAACCATAACAGGTAAAACTTCATGTTGGACAGTGCAAAAAGTAAATCACCAAAAGATGTCATACCATTGAAGGCTGCTCTTTTTCAGAAGCTGTAAAAATTTGCAAATGAACAGATTCATTTTGATTGCCATTTGGCAATTTTTCTTTGCCCCGTCGTTTGGTCACATTAGAGTCTTCCCATTTTTCCACATTAACTGTATTGCATGTATTCTCTTCGACAGTAGCCTGAAAACAAATACCAGCATGAACTTAAATAGGTTTCAGCAACACAAATGAACACTGTAAACAATGGGTCTGCTTTCAAGCAAATAAAGCTCCTTGTGCTGCATCACCACATTCAAAAATGGCAGGTTTTACATCCTATTCATTAAAGCCAAGAGCCACATGCAACCTCTTCTCTTCAGAGTAACTGCTATTACAATCACTGGTTCCCCTCTCAATCCCTACCCACCATGAAATGTTATCCGTCAGTAAGTTTTGTAACCCAGCTTCTTACAGGTTGGAACAGACAAAAAAAAACTATTAGCCAGAAGCAGCACTTAGATGGGAAGTTTAAACATTCATATCAATCTCACACTCGAGATAAGCACAAATAACAGAATGTAGATGTTTACCTGCAGGCACTGCTTGATGAACAAGTAGCACAGCACAGAAAGCAGTGGCCATTCAGCCCTTCAAATCTATTCATCCAAGTTGGTGTCAGAAATAGCACTGATCAAGAATAAAATTTAAGCCACTTCTTTCAATGCTGCCCTCTTGCACATCCCAATTTTAATCACAGCATAATGGCAGCTGTAAACTACGAAATTGATTATCTAAATCTCTCCAATTCTCTCCTACTTAAAGACACTATTAAAACCTACCTCACTGCCCAAAGCTTTTGGTCATCTTTCCCAATGTCTCCCCAATTAATTTAGTGTCAAATTTTGTTTGATAAAAATGCCCTAAGGCACTTCACAGCAATTGTATGTTAAAGTTACTATACAAATATGAATTGTTCTTCACTGTTTTAAAGATTAATTTTCACAAGCAAACCTTCAAAGCAGGATCATCCTTCTGCTCTTGTTGGAAGAGTTCTTGCAATTTTTTCAGTAATTTATCTGCCTGTATTAGGAAAAGAATAAAAAAGTGGAGAAATTACTCAACTTCAGGAGATGTAATTTTTATGAAAACAGCAATCATTTCAAACAAACTTAAAACACAAGGAACATCGCTTAAAGCTTCATTTGATTCTAACAATTCAATTTTACTACCTTAAGCAGGAAAAAAAACAGGAGGCCATTGAGTCCATCTTATCTGTACTAGCAACAAGGAAGTCAGCCTGCCTCATCACATTTGTCAGCTTTTGGTCCATAACCCTGTAGGTTATGGCAGTTCAAATGCATATCCAATTGTTTCAAACCCAAATTACCATTTTGCCCTCAATGTGTTTCGGATCCCAACCATCTTCTGGGTAACAAAGAAAAAATGTAACTCAATTAACTCAATCATAAAATTGCACCAATGAATACCCCAAACAGTTTCCAGCCTCTGCTATTAAAAGTAGGCACATTCTATTCACTTTTAATTTTCCTTGTCATTATATACATGTCAATTAAATGTCCTCTCAGCCATCTGCACTCCAAAGAAAAACAAATCCAGTCTATCCTCATAACCAAAATCCTCAATTCCTGGCAACAGCCTAGGAATTTGGTTTCTGGATGTACTCTGACAGATGCATATTGGAACCCCTCAAATGATGTAACACACTGACTATGTGGTAATTACCCAGAAAGTTAAAACTTCCTATAAACAATTGCCTGGAACCCTCCAACAAGTTCCCAACTCTAGAGTCAGAGTCTTCCAACTAACTTGTTAATAGTTAGCCAGGAAAAGATTAGAGATATAAAACCAGCTCTTGGGTAACTAGAAAACTGATCCCCTCAAAACATTCACACAAACCTACTCACAAACACCTAAATTAACCACACCAGCCACAAAATGCCCTGCTGGACATACAACACAACCTTCTTCCACTTACCCCATGGGATGCTGTAGGATGGACCTGTCATAAGATAGAGAACTCAAGGAGAAACAACAGCAAAACCTCCCCACTCTTGCAACCTTCACTTTGGTCAATAAAGTAGCCCATGTGAATTTGTGACCTCATCTACCTGTCTTGCTATTGATAGGGAGGAGATGACATGCAGCAAAATCTTTATGGTCACAGATCACCAAGTCAGAGTTGCTGTGGTAACATCCAATTTTCCATATGTGGTCTGAAGTTACAGAGAGAAAGATGGCAGAGGCTCTGACTTTCCTGCCATCATGTGACTGACCAGGAATTTCTCCCGTTCTTACCATCTGCCATTGCGGTATGTTGGAAGGAGTTGCAAGTTGGTATTCAACTTGTTCAGCTGCACTGTGAATGCACACTCCTTGTCCAGCAAGTACTCAAACCCAGAGTTTCTGCAGGGACACTACCATCTGCACCAGAAATCACGCCTGGCAAACTTATATACCACCTGTAGTGTAATGAAACATCAAGGCACTTCACACAAGAATTATGAAACAAAGTATGACATGAGACATATAAAGGAACATTAGGTTAGGTGACTAAAATTCAGCTCCCTGACCAAGATTTTGAGGTTGGTCTTAAAGCAACTCCAGAAAAAAAAAGAAAGAGTGGCAAAGAAGTGTAGGGAGGAAACGGGCTTCAGCATTTAGGACTCAAGCAACTGAAACAGCAGCCACCAATGGGAGTAATTAAAATTGACGGTGCACAAAAGGCGTGATTTTAAAGACCAATTAAAGAGAGAAGAGGGACAAGGTCATAGTGAGATTTGAAATCAGGAGTAGAATTTTAGAATTGAGGGGTTGTTTGGTCAGGAGCCAACATGGGTCAGTGAGTACTGGGGTGATGGTGGAAAACAGGACTTGGGCAGCAGAATTTCAGACGTTCTCAAATTTATAGAAGTTGAAATGTGGGAAATGAGGTCAGGAAAGAGATAACAAAACATGCATGAAGGTTTCTGCAGCAGATTAGCTGAAAGGGAGGAAGTTACAGAGATGGATATTGACAGTCTTAATGGCATGAATAAAGGGGTCAGAAACTCATCCTAGAATCAAAGGTAACACCAAGGTTGCAAACAGACTGGGGTTAGGTTCAGACTGTTGCCAGAAAGAAGGATGGAATCAGTAGCTTGTTAAGGAATTCAGACTGAGGATAGAAAACAACGGTTGCAGTCTTTCCACTATTTAGAGGAAATTTCAGCTCACCCAGTACTGGATGTTGGGTAAACATTTCAAGGATTCTTAAGTGGTGTCATCGAGATATCCAGCTGATAGTGAGGTAGAACTGGTGTTGTCAACGTCTGATAAAATTAGCATTGTGCCATCAGATGTTGCCCAAGAAGCAACGTGTAGATTAGAAATAAGAGGAGGCTAAGGATTGAATCTTGTAGTCACTAATAGCTAAAAGAGGAGAAGCAAAGCAATTGCAGAGAATTTTCTGACTACAATTAGAAAGACTGTGGAGAGGCAAAAAAAAAGGTAAGGTGATCAACTATGTCAAAGCACACAGACAGGTTGAAGATCTTGAGGAAATAGTTATCTTCGGTCAGTCACAATATCATTGGTGACTTTGATAGTATTTACTCCAAGGTCCCTCTCTTCTTAGCATCCTACTATTTGTATTCGTGTGCCTTGTTACTACCTTTCTAACTGCATCACCTCATTTCAGAGGATCAAATGCCATCTGCCACATTTCCACCCAGCAAACTAGTGGTATTGTTCTAAGAATCAACCACATATTCAATTTCATATAATCTGCAAACATCTTAATTGTATGTGCCTCACATGCAAGTCGAAAATCATGGACATATGCCATGAACAGCAACAGTCCAGTACTGAATTTGATTCCTTGCCAAAACATTGGCAAAGATTGATTTTTAGCTATAATAGATCCAAGACTACTATTTTCAACTTGAATAAAATGGCAATTAAAGCATGAAGAATGAGCAAATGTAAACTGGCAAGTTAGGTTAAGAGATGGATAAACAGAGATAAAGCACTGGATATTTAAGGGGATATCTCAGTGCCCACTGAACAAATATGTGCCAATGAGAAAGAAAAATTGCAAGGGAAGATCATTAACTGAAAAAACCTTCCAAATTTAAAAAAGGATATAATTGCACAAGTGAGTGGCATCTTAAAAGATTGGATGGAATATAGGAAACAAGTTCACAGATTCTAGTGGAACTCATTTCAAAGTTTTAAGAGAAGCCTAAACAACATTACAGGATACAAAATGAAGCAGAGCAAGACAGCAGACAAAGATACATCCCTCCCTGATGCTCTCAATGCTTTCTATGCTCGGTTCGAGCAGAATACCAATGGCACAGTACCACCTCTCCGACAAACCTAGAAGCCTCTGCTCCCGTCATCATTACAGACATCAGATCAGTCTTTCTGGGAGTCAACCAAAGAAGGGGACGGGCCCAGATGGAGTCCCCAGCCGTGCATTTAGATCCTGTGCAGACCAGCTGGCAGAAGTATCACTGACATAGTCAATCTCTGCCCTCCTACATGCCAAAGTCAAGAAGAAGACCACCATCATCTCAGTACCCAAGAAAACACATGCAACATCTTAAGTGACTACCATCCAGTGGCTCTGACCTCCACAATCATGAAATGCTTCAAGAGGCTGGTCATGGCCCACATCAACTCTAGTCTCCCAGCCTGCTTCGATCCACTGCAATTTGCCTGTTGATGTAACAGGTCCACAGCGGATGCCATTTGCCTAGCACTGCACTCCACGAGGACACAACACTGGAGCCCACCACCCCTCCCCCCAACAAGATGCGTTCTCAGTCCCCTACTGCACTCCTTGTACACCCACAACTATATAGCCAAATTCTGAATGAATGCAATCTGCGGTAGAATATATATCAAACAGCGATCAATCAGAATACAGAAAGGAGATAGACAGCTTGATGATGTGGTGCAATGATAACAACCTCTCTCTCAATGTCAGTAAAACTATAGAACTGATCATTGACTTCAGGAAGAAAGGAGGAAAACACACCCCCATCTACATCAACAGATCGGAGGTTGACAGTGTCAAGAACCGTCCTAGACTTCCCACCTAGATGCCACAGTCAAGAAGCCACAACAATGCCTCTTCTTCAGGCGAAATCTGGCATGTCCACAAGGACCCTCACCAACCTTTACAGATATACCACAGAAAGCACACTGTCCAGGTGCATAATGGCCTGATACAGTCCTGGGCAGAGCAGTTGCTGTAAGAAACTACAGAAGGTTGTATGCATAGTCCAGACCCATCCATGAACTCCTTTTACACCTCTTTCTGCCACCGTAAGGCCACCAAAGACCAAATCTCACTCCAGTAATGCTCTCCTACAACCCTATTCCATCAAACAGAAGATACAGAAGCCTGAACATGCACCAGCTGGTTCAAGAACAGCTTCTTCCCTGTTGTTATTAGAATGATGAATGGATTCTTTAACTTCAAATTATGTTAATCTTGTTAATGTTGGTCTTGCCTCACGCATGTGTGCAATGTAACCTGTATGCCTTACTCTGTCCAAGACTCTTTTTCACCCCATAATCTGTACATCCTTGCTTACAATGACCTGTCTGCACTGCTCGGAAACAAAGCTTTTCACTGTACTCAGGTACACATGACAATAAATCAAATCAAATCAGAACCATGCTCACTGTTAATGTGTGGTTAATCACATCATGTTCGAGGTCAAGAAGAAAGAAGGTGGCTCTTAATTCTGTGCACACACAATATAGGGAGCATTGAGAGGGATATGATTGAGCAGGTCAATAAACTCTCTCCACAAGAGAGAGTGTGTGGCTTTTGAGGGAGTGGTATGTAGTATTGCCACCTCTCGACCAGAAAATCCAGTTCCATATCCAACTTCAGAATGGGAATACCAGAGATATGCCACCACAAATCCAAATAGGTTGATAAAAATAAAACTATCCAAAAAGAAATGTATTTTGATTTCAATTTCTCCAAATGGCTGGTAAAATCAACAAACATCCACATCTGCCATCTCCACACAAGTTTTTTTTTAAAAAGGTGTCTAATCAGT